TGTCATCACAGAAAATTGATTCCACAGATTTCCAGGGACAGAAATAGTCTGAAATGAAGTAATGACACACAATAACACCCTGAATTTCACTTTTATCTATAACTTTAGTACAAACCTTTTGCTATTCTCTTAAAAGGAACGATAAAGGAAATTAAATAGGACTGGATAAATTAAACAAATGAAGTTCAATAAATTTTCAAGCCAGATTCTGATGAATGAGAGAAGTCTTTTCCTCTGGTCTAGCAGCTGAAAATAGCAGGGGTGGAGCAGAGAGTGGGATTCCAAGGAGGTCAGCAAAGAAAGTTCTGCATCTATGAAGAGAAATAAATCATTAAAAGGCCTAACAACAGGTTCCCTCCTACAACTAATTAGTGAGTGCGAGAAATAAACCCTCTGGCAGGGAGTTTTTACAAACTTAGTTCGGCAATTCTAATTCTTCATCAGGAAGATTTTTCATCATTGCGGGGGAAGAAGGGGATTGGAGGAACATACCCAGGTGTGAGATTGCCCTAGATTCTACAGCACTGCCCATCAAACACACCGCAGGGGGCCCATAGTGAAGCCTCTCTGGCAGGTGCGTCATTCAGAACTTCACCACTGTGCTCAAGTACCTATCTATGTGCTTTCTCTACTGTGGCCTGATACCTTCATAATTACCATTAAATTAATGACTTTCAGTCATTTTAAAAATCACATTCTACCTTCTGATTACAGAGAAATTATATACTTATATGAAAGTAGCCTAATTTTACTATGCTTAAGATGTTTTTCAAGTAGTACAAAAGTATTTAACATACTGAGTTTGCTTATTTCTCCCGAAAGTCACTTAGTCAGTATCATGGGAAGGTACGTGGATTCTTTTTTATATGGAAATCTCAGTATGTGTATTCCAGCTTATAGCTGAGTCCAAAGCCCTAGATTCGATTGCATTTCCTCGCATTTTAAAATTCCTCTAGTGGTTAAGTGTAAAATGAGGTATATATGGCAGCGTGTTTTATAACCATTCATCCGCTTTTGTAACTAGAAAACTCCTATTGATTTATACAAAGAAAACAAGTTGGAGACATTTAACCTTAAACAATAGGAGTTATCTCTATTATTAAAATAAATAAACTTGTGAACTAAACAATGGTGTTCCAATTATGCAACAGTAATGATGTAATTGGCTAGCGGGATTCACCAACACTCAGAAATTCAGTTAAACTACCATGTAATTTCTTCCTAGTACTACAATTATTGCAATTAAAGATGGGCTTCATCTATATCATAGCAAATAGACAATATCCTCAGAGTGACAAATCTTACTTGTATTGCCTTAAATTGTACAGGTATTTCCCCTCATGATTAGCATGTATTTCTTCTTATGTCACTACGTCAGTAAAAGTAAACCCCATTTCAAAACTGACACCACCTTGGAATTCACACGTATCTCAAAGCCTCCACTTTGCCTTAATGTTAATTGAGAAAGTGGGTGTTTACACTGATTTCCTAATGTTAAAGCACAGGCTATGATTGCAGCAATAAACATAGAGTATCTCTGTTGCATTTATTTCTCAGTCGAAAAATCTTAGCACTTAGTTCCGTTTATTTTTAGTGTGGAGCAAGTTTCCATGTTAGAATACTCATTAATATTTAATAACTTATGGAAATGTGTTTGTTTTTGGTGATCATACATTTCCATTTTCATTGTTGCAAAATGTTTACCGGTTTGTGGCATGAGTTATTGTTTATGTTTCCACATTTGGGTTGCTAGAAATTCTCCCAATCAGACATAATCATAAACAACCACTTTGATTTCATAATTATCTCATTTGTTCTGAGTGGTAGCAAGGGGCAGGAGTTAAAATCCTTAACACGCTACTGTAGACTAAAATTGGCAGATTCCCTAAGGTGATTCAGGAGAAATTAATCTTAGTTCCCATCTTCTAGAACAGTGGTTCTCAACCTTCCTAATGCTGCCACCCTTTAATATAGTCGCTGTAGGTCGCGACCCACAGGTTGAGAACCGCTGTTCTAGAAAAATACTAGTTTGTTCTGACAAATGTTAAACTGCCTCAGATTTAGATCTATACAAATTATCTTACATCTTGCTTAAAAACAAACAACAACAAAAAATAGGAACACTGAAAACATCTCACCTAAAAAGCACAAAATAAGAAAATATGTGAAATACTTTATATTTCATACAGTATTAGTCATTAAGGAATGCACGACCACATTGTCAATTTGACTGTTCAGTTTTCTATATTCCTCATGATGAAAATCTTCGAAAGGAAAAAGGAATTAACAATTACTATCATCTACATTCTTCCAAGAACCAGGCTGGATACATTAGATCATTTGCCGAAGGACAATGTAGCTAAGTTCAGATCACAGTCTCAAATTTGTACCCTTTCTCACACTGCTCCTTACTATGTATGTGACTTTGACTATCTTGGCTAATCTCTCCATTTCAATTTTCTCACTGGTAAAATGAGTGAAATCCTAGAATCGACCTCTCAGAGTTGCTGTGAGGATTTATATAAGTTAATGTAAATGGAGCACTTAGAGCACTGTTTGGCCTGGAATAGGCACACAATTAACATTCAACACCGGCATTATCCTTGCCAAATCTTATAAAGTAAGGGGCCTTCATCTCCAGTTTACTGATGAAGCTCAGAGAATTGAAGCAATTAATGTAGAACAGAGGAACTCATACTTTAACATAAATTAAAAACTTGCCACTAAATTATGTTGTGACATTTCCCCATTCTAATCACATACTGATAATTTTCCCTCTTCATATTCATTGAAATAAAGAAATCTTGTGGCTGTAGACATTTCTTAGACTAAAAACAATAGGCATTTAAATCTGATCATTGAATAGGTGATTGCTCCAACACATGGTCTAGTCCCCCAATTTATATAGTTGATATGTGAGTATTGGTGAGGATTGAGCACATATGATGTATTTATTTTAAAACTTATTTGTGAAGCATAAGCATACTATTAATGCATTTCTTTGAATCAGGATAGCAAAAATACCTCCCAAGGGAAATGATGGCCCAGGAGAAACACTGTGTAGCCCAACTAAAGATAAAATAAAAATTCACCAAGAGAAAATGAAATAAACTAGGCAATTGATCAGGTAATAGACACTACCAGTAAATAATGGGTTTTCACAAATTCTGGTTAAAGGCAAGTATTTGACTTTTAAGAGTGCCTCACAAATGTCATCTGCCATAATGTTCACTGATGGATGTACACACAAAATCTTAAGAGCATCATGGAACCTATTCAGAGTTAATTCTTGAAAACTGGCTGTCTATTCCAAATTTGCAATAAGCTTTAGCTCTATACTAAATATACCCAGGTTTATCTTTTGTGCTATGTACTCTAGAACTCATTGGTAGATAGTAGGAAAAATGGGGAAAGACCCTGAATTAAGTAGACCACTTTTTGTTCCAAGTTCACTTATGACTGTATAACTTTGTGAAAGTTATTTTTCTGAGTCTTTGTTTTACATTACTTAAAACTTGATTTCTTAAACAACCATGTTAACCATTATTGTTTTATTAAAGCAATCCTACGGAATAAGCTGGAAATCCCTAACACCTGTATTTTATAATCAAGAAATCTGAGTTTCAGTGTCATGCCTTCCATGGGGTGAAAGAGAGCAGAAAGTGGGCTTGGCATAACTGATCAAAACTGCCAATATTTAGTTAATACACAATTCTAAATATTTATGTTTGTTTATTCATTTCTATCTCCACAACATCAAACACATGAAGTGGTAACTATTTTATCCATTTAATAGATGAGGTGATTGAGGCATCATAAGATTAAATGCCTTGGTGATGTCACAGTCACTAAAAGTCAGAGGTGAATTTCAAGCTCAGACAGTCTGTCTATCTGCCACACAGTTAACCACTTGACCAAACTGCGTTTCTAAGGGGAAGAAAATATTAAAAACCTGTGATACCTGCCTTTAGGTGCTTTAGACTTTTTACAAAAGTAGTGAAAGTATAAATAGGCTTATTATAGGAATGAGTTATGGTTTTATGGAAGAAAAGAAAGACTGCATTTGAATGTACATGCCTATATTATTTCAGTGCTCCTGAATTCTTGCTTTACATTGCCTGGAGGCTGAAAATAGTCTTACCTTACAGCATTGGGGGCTGAGACTCAGTTTTGTGGTATTGAAATAAAAATATCTGCTCTTCCTTTATGCTCCACAACTAACCCAGCCTAGGAATGTAAGAGGGATGGGAATTTAAATGTGCATTGGATTCAAACCACAGACTCCAGGACTTCTCTACCACCTAATCTGCAAGCTCCCTTAGAGTTAACTCCTTTCTCGCCACACCCAGAAAAGCCTACTGGACATGCCCAATTACAAGGTTAGATAGAGCCGTGCACGAAGTGCCACTTTCTCCAGGTTTTACCAGCTGCAAACGGAAGGCGGAGACTGAGGGGAGAGTTAAACAGGTAGAGAACTTGCTCTAGCTCGGGATGCTCATGGTCAAGACAGCAGGGAAGCTGAAGAATGAAGAGAGACCGCGGCGGAAAGCACCGGTCCGACACACCTGATCCTGGTCTCTGGTTTCCAAGTTGGAGTGTCAGCCTGGTGGGTCCCGCTTACATCTTTCTGTCACAGTCTAGACAGATCTTGAAGGTTTGGGGTGATTACTCAGGGCAAAGTAAGGGGTGGGGCAGGGACGTTGGATCTTGGAGCCTGCCAGAGCCTGCCAGTGCCCTCCTGTCCCCGCATTCCTCAAAGAGCTGCAGCTTTTCAGGGGTTCCAAGCAGGAGACCAAGGTGCACAAGTAAAGCCAGAGCTCATCATAAGCCTTGCTCATCCGACTCCCGGGCCCCTTCGATTTGACTGCCGGGCCCTTTCCTGGCACAGTCTCAGGTATCTCCGCCCAATCACTACTAAACCCCGGAGAAGTGGAATCTCCATACAGCTTTCCGTGGGGCTAGCAGGGGCTTGGGCATGCTCAGTAGGCTACGTGGTCGGTCTCTCTCTCTCTTTTTCTCTCTTCTCTTCCCTCTCTCTCCTTTCTGATGGGGGAGGGAGGGTGGTGACAACTTAGAAGCGCTTGCGGCAGGTCCCCGCCCCCACCGGGCTCCCCTTGCAAAGGCAGCACGCAAAGGTAGAAGCACCTCACTTCTCAGCATCCCGCCCTGGAGGGGCTGCGCCCACTGGCCGGGCCCTCCGGTTCCTCAGTCACAGGACGGGCTAGCCGTTCTCCATGGTACTGCGGAGAGCTCAGCTCCGCCCTTCTCTTTCAGAAGGACAGCACCCGGCGTCACGTAACCCAGCCTTCTCCGGCTCCACCGCCGCCTCTTCCTTCCCAGCTCTTTCCCTCTCCTCCTCCTCCTCCTCCTCCTCCTCCTCCCGCTGCTGCTGCTCCCTCCGTTGCCTGTTCTCCCCTCCCGCACTCCTGGAGATAGACGCTCAAGCCTGACGCCTCCGAAAAGGCAGCAGCAGTCGCCTTATCCTTAGACCTCAGGAAATTCGCTTTGACTGATGCCTGCTTCAGGCTCTGGCTCGAGCTAAGGGGAATAACCACGCAGGTAAAGCAGCTCAATTGGGGTTGGGGGGAGGGGATGGGGCGAGGCAAGCTGGAGAAGGATATCTTTCCCCATTGTAACCGAGCCAGGGTATGCCACAAATACACCGGGAAGAATGGGTGGTGGGAG